AAACCGTTAAAAAGCAAACGAATGACGGCCGGATGATCAAGACGAAGAGGAAAAGGACGGAGGGCGGCGATGACGCTGGCTGCGATTTGGACGACGCGGGAAGAAAAAAAGAACGTAGAAATAGACGAAGGTGGAAAAATGAGAGTACGAGTGAAAACGCGAAAGAGTGAGAGAGGAAAGGAAAGACAAAGTCTTCGAGGGAGACGATCGTCTACGAAGGAGTGTAAATAATACTAAGGCTGATTGTGGGCGTGGCTGACAGAACTCTAAAAACCTTCGACTATATATCAAAGGGTTTACTGCCCTTGGATGATTCTCTCTTGCAGCAGGAGAAGAGACGCTGGAAGAACAAATACTGGACCGCTGCGCGCGAGAGGAGTGGGAAGAGGCAGAAGTAACTGGCGCTCGGACGAGCAGGCAGAAAGAGGAACGGAGGAAGAGGAAGGAACTCGACGAGGATCGGCGCGAGGACTCGAAAAGGAAAGTCCAGCCGTTTCGTCGTTACCGTGAACCACGGCGAAGATTAGTTGCTTCTTCTGCCTGTCCCTCGCCGAGACTCGTAACGCTCGTGTAGCTGCTATTTATCGGCTGCAAGGTGCCTCTCGTCTATGTCTCAATACTCTCGCGTCGTGACGGGGAAGAATTGTAAGAAATAGCGGGAAACGAATGCGAAGGGCAAAGTATATTCTTACGTTCTTTTTTTTACACGTGCAAAATTGATTGAAGATACGATTAACAAGTTGCCGTAAAAATGATGAATTTTTTTTCATTTGGAGGAATTATTATGTGTTTAATTATCTACAGCGAAGGGATATGATAGAAATTTTCAGTTCATCTCGTTCGCACATGTCTGTTCATCGGACATTAGCGAGCGAGAGATAGCCGCGCGTCTCAATACGTCCCGCGCTATCCGATCGGTCGATTAAGAAGGATGGGTGTGGTGGAGAAGGAAAACGAGAAAAGAGGAATACGGCAAAGTGGAGGAGGAGCGAGGAGGTGTGGATACCCATGGCATCCACTCTCTCCTCCGTTCTTTCGAGACTCGACGGATGTTGGGAGCTACCTCGATGGCTGCCCGCCTGCCTGCTCGCCGGCCCGAGTTGCTCGCCCGGCTAGCTGGCTGGCTGACTGCTTGGCTGGTTGCTTCGGCTCTCGATTACTTGAAAAACCGGATTCCTTCTGCGCGAAACTATGTTTCCCGTCTCGTGTTTATGTACCAACACACGGTCGCGGAACAATGTTGGTTATTCCCGCATGTGTGTAACCGCGCGTCTCCCCGTTACACTCCGTTTTGTCTTCGATCGCCCCAGATTCTTGCGTCACGAGATGCGCCTAAATAAACTAAACGTCACGCGACGATGTACGTGCTCGTTGAACCGTGCGAGAAAACGAGAGTCGGCGCCGGCACCGCGATCGGAAATACAGAGCGAACGAAGAAGAAGAGAGCAGCGTCGGGTTGGTACTCGAGGAGTCGCGATGTCATCGGCCGTAGCCGGAGGGTCGGTGTTCGAGGGTTAAATCCAAGGGTTTTGAGGGAGTCGGTGTCGAGGGTAAACATATACGTGCCTAAGCACAAACACGCGCGCGCGTGTAGGCGCGCTTATGGTGATTCGGGGCGAGAGTATCCTCTCTCGGTAGATTTCTTCGTTGTTTGGTAAGAACAATGGCGGCAGCGTCGCGAGTGCGTCGAGGATACACAGGCACAAAGAGCATATTTTCCGAATAATTTCACGCAGCCCTCCGTTTGTCGGTGGTTGGCCAGCCAAAAGAAGCGCGATCCTCTGTTTGAAAAATTGAAAAGAACTGCAACGACGAGATGAAATCTGGCGGCGCCCTTTGGGCAAAAATATTTTTAATTAAATACAAAACTACAATTTTTTTATTGCTATAGATAAATTTTATTGCAAATTTAATTTTTCATCCTTTAATTTATGTTAGACGATCAATTAGATAGTCAATCCGTGACTCAGCAGTTGATACTAGATTTTTTTATATTAAATAAATCTTGGAATTATGCGGCGATATACACGATACTGTTAAACAATGGCTGGATAGTCGAGTTTATGATGCTTAATAAATTCCATCCGCTGCACGTGTGTGCGGTTCAGCCTTCATTCATCCGACCGCCGCGGCGGCGGCGAGTCGTAGGACGAGGGAAAAGACGTGACGAGACCGACGAGAGATACCGGGCACTCATTTAGCCCGGCAATTTATTCTCGCGTTTTGTAATTAACACCAGGAAAGAAGTAGCAGAAGTTATTCTTCTCCTACGGGCACGGGACGGCGTGGCACGGGTGGAAGCGACTACTCCGGTCAGTCTGCCCTTTTCCCCCTTCGTCATTTCACTTCGGCCTCGCTCCACCTTCGACTCTTCCTCACGTGAAGAAAACGTACGTATCACTATTAAGCGTCAGGGCGGTTGAGGCCCGGAACCCCCTGGACCAACTCGAGAATGAGAAACGGAGGATGGAGAAGAAGAAGATGGGGAAAAAAGCGGAGGAAGAAGACGCGGACGGGAAGAGAAAGAGAGAAGGAAAGAAAGGAAGCAGAAGAGAGACGGAGAAGAATGGAGAAAAGGAAATGGGGGTGGGAGGTAAGAGATGAGGCAACGGCGGCGGGGAGGAGGACGGTGGAGGATGATGGAGGCCTCTCCTCTGCATGCCACCGCAGTCAGCTCCAGACAGAAAGCGGTCTGTATAATTATGGGTTGTCACCTCATCAGGCGTCCGGGAGGGGGCCGGGAGAGGAGGTGGCGGTGCGTTCGGTCCGGCGCGGGGGCGACGGAAGGGCGGGGAGGTTATAGGAGTGCAGTCTTTAGCTCAATTGTGTTTTATCGTCTTTCGCATTTGGCTTTAGGGTCCCGGCGACCGGGGGAGTGATTGCCGCCCGGAGCGCCCGCGCTCTCTCTCTCTCTCTCTCTTTCTCTTTCTCGGGGTCCCCGAGCGTGATTTTTTTCTCAGAAGATGTCCGTTCCCATCGGACGCGACGCCGCCGCGAGTGCGTCGCGAGCGAAGCGTGTTAAAGCGGACAATTGGAACGTGTGTTTAAAAACGCGGAGGCGCATCGCGCGTACGTCGAGGAAGACCGAAGGGAAGAGAATTGCGCGTAGCGTCACGCGTCAAGGACCTCGGGACGTCTTCATCTATCACAGAATTCTGACGCTGTATGCATTGTCGGTCGGTAAATACGTATTGTCGAGGCAGTAAAATCGGCGAAACGTGCATTTTAAGTTCCACAATGATCTGAACGCGCTCCGACGTACTCTTCCCCTGCCTTCTCTCTCTCTCTCTTCCTTTCTCTCTGGCTTTTGTGTGTCTTTCTTTTGTCTCAGCGTCCCTCCCTTTCGCGCATACACGCACTAATCTGCACATATACAAAAAGGGGCACTGCGCGAGAAGGTACTGAGGCTAAGTGGCGAGTTTAGAGGGATTTCATTAAATCATATGGATTGGAGATAATGTATGTTATTGAGCGGAGCGTTCAAATCGCGCTCTATAAGTTGTAATAAGTCCAATTTTGGGGCCGGTCATGGGCCGGGTCCCGCAGTGGTTGCCGAGCGGACCCGATTCGCCGGCGGCCGACGGCCGCCAATTGTCCCGAGGCCGGCGCGGAATGACAGTCACTGAGACCGGCAAACCCGCCACTTACTCGTCAAACGGCCAGCCGGTCCGCCGAAATCACTGCCATTTAGATAATTTGTAATGAATAGGCACCACTCATTCCATACCCCTTCCCCCTCTTTCCTCGTCCTTCCTCTCTCTCGTCCACGGCCAGAGCGCCGAAAAAACGCGTCGAGCAAATTAACAGTCGGCCGAATGACAACAATATCGTTCATCTAATATTTCATAGGACGGCGCGGATGACGGTTCCGAGAAAGACGCGATAAATCGCGACGAGAGAGCGCCGCGAGGGACCGTCGAACCTGAGCGAGGCCACTTAGGAAGGAATTCGAGATTTCATCCTCGCCCAAGCGGAAAGAAACGGTCTCGACAAGTTTCGAAGGCATGTGTGCACTCGTTTCGAAGGAAACGAGCCACCGGCTATAATTCGTACGATATACGCGATCTAGATGCGGAAGCGAATCTGTGTCATCGTCCGAATGCGTAAGACCACACATCGACGTCGAAACATATTTGAAAGCAGAATGTATCGATGCCGGAATAACAAATAGCGGAACGTGTCGCGCGACGTCGCGTCGTCCTTTTCGCGAGTCTCCCCCGCGACGTAGAAAGTACGTGGTATCGATCAAAAAACGTGACTGTGCATACATTATCGTGCTGCCGACAGACAAGAGAGAGAGAGAGAGAGAGAGAGAAAGGGTGTGTGCGTGTGTGTGTCGGTCGCACGCATCTTGAAAAATCGAGGACTCGGGACGGTGGTAAGCTTGTGGAGAATAATACACGCGCGCCGCTGCACATCCGATATCGAATATATAGGAATAAGCTCGATATATCGAGAGAAAGAGAGAAAGAGAAAGAGAGAGAGAGAGGCGGAGGGGGGAGAGTGGCATCGATACAACCGGGCGATGAAATCCCAAGTCGGCGGTCTATCCGGGACCCCACGGATTCGCGAACGAATCCATCACGGTGGCTTGCTAAGGCGTCGCGCAAACACACGGAGCTAGCGACGGACGCGCGAATCAACGTGCAGATTATATGCAGAGGCTGCGCGCCGCCGCCTGTTGTGATTGATATTTGGTTAAGCGGTCGGCGATCCATCAAGCCGGCAAAAGCGCTCTTTATCCTTGGTTCGCCGAGAGCTACACGTCTCGCACGATTCCGGTGAAATCCGGATACACGTCTGCCCTTCGCCGTCTCACGGACTTTCTCGCCGCTTCCTCTCGGCCGCGCGAAGGGCGGCAGGCGCATAAATCGATAATTATTATATATTTGGCGCGGTTTAGGGCCGCACAGGGAGGCACAGAGACGATCGCGGTACTTTGCTTAAATTGCGCGCGATTTGACAACGCGATCTATAATGCGCGTGCATTCTGTTTGCAGACGTGCCGAGGATGGAGAAGTCACCGCTCCTGGCGAACGGATACAATCACCCGCCCACGCACCTGAGCCACATGCAGTTCATGCAGCTCGGCGCGCATCCAGGTGCAGGACACACCGCCATCCTGTCACCAGCCAGTCTACCGCATCACCTGCAGGCGCAGGCACAGGCTCGCGCCGAGCAGGGTCTCAAGGTCAATCCGAATATGACCAACATGGAAGCCCTCGCAAGGTGAGTCCACGTTACCACTTTTCTCGCCGTTTATCCCGCCGCGTCAGGAGGCGACGAGAGAGATCGCGCGCGGACGATGTCACTCGCGAACGACGACGGTATTCCGCAAGCTGCGCAAACCACGCAGCGGGAAACATTTTCATTAACTCGCTCCCTGAACTTTACGAGCCAGGGACAAGTCGCGCCGAATGAGATGGTAATAGAAGCGCGAAGAGAGACGCAGCGCGACGGAAAGGAGAATTCGACGCTTTTCGCGAAATTAAAAGGTCGAGCTCGTTTCGATTTCAGTTCCACAGTTCTCTCCGCGCGAGCGCACAAATTCGTGGCTCATTTGGAAATTGGATTTATCTGTTTAAAGTTTCTTGTGACGTGCTCTTCGGCCAGCGAGGCCAAAAGAATACGACTTTAAGAGGATTGGAAGAGACGGCGAAGCCGTGGAAATCCAAGGGGTCTCGACACCGCTTGATCTCTTCCTCCTTCTCGTACCTCTCCTCGTTGCCCTCGGCCCCTTCTTTTATCTTCGCGTCCTCCTTCGATTTCCTTTGCTTGGACGCCCGTCGCTCACTCGACTCACTCGTATCACGTTTCATTGCGCTAACACGTTGATTGATTAATTAAATGATTAATTTTATTTTATTTTTTTTTTATATATTTAAAATGAAACAAATTTTCTGCAATTATAAAATTTTGATTTTTGAAACAAATCAATTGTCCGCATTCAGCAATTCTTCTTTAAAGAAGGATCGATGAAGGTGATTTAATCTTGCATATTACGAGAACGCGGCGAATTTCGCATTGTCTCAAAGACGCGTTTCGCACGACATTATTCATGACTTGGATCGACCTTGAGAGGCTTGTACGAGCCTACCCTCGCGCGGCATTAGACCATCTTTGAAGACGGCGATGGCTCCTTCTCGGAG